GGATGGGAAGTATGACGTGGATAAAATTGTTGCGGAAAGTACTTACCACACTGGACGTAGAGGCAGACCATAACGACAGTATATAGTAAGGTTTGCATATCAAGATCCTAGTGAAGATCGCTGGTTTACAAGAGAGGAACTGTTAGATTCTGCACCTCATATATTGTCTGCATACGAAAGTGCAAAGAGAGGAATTCATATCATTGATAGGTAAATGATTCTCAGAGGTCTTCGAAACTAGGCCGGCGAGAGTAAAAGGGCCTTTACCCGATATAGGCCTCAGGCCTTGTAAAAATAGAGCAGCACAGTCCTTGTAAAAGTAAAGCATTGTGAAAAGGTATCTTGCCAGGGCTCAGAAACGTGAAAACAGGTCAAAAGTCAAGTTCTTTATCAACAGGCACATCTAAATCTAAGGCAAAGGGCAGATGTGTATATCATGTCTGTTCGAGTAAGGGTGTGTTTGTACGTGTAGGCAGTGTACCTGTTCGCGCAATGGAAAGTGCCTATTCAAGTAGTTAATGTGTCTGTTCGTTTAGAGTTGTGCCTGTCCGAAAGTGAAGTCAGTAGGCACAGTCCCAGTTCTGGTCTAAGTCAAGGGGCCAGTCCAGATCCAGACTTTCAAGTCCAAATCCAGGCCGACGTGCCTCAGCAGCAGTTGAATCTCATTGGGACTGTACTGGGACACATGCAATGCAGGGTCTGGGACAAAGGGAGAGGCTGAATTGAGCCAATGCAGACCCAGCGAGGAGTGGCCAGCACTATAAAAAGAGTTGCCTGCCTCATACCTCGCCAGATCTCCACTGGCTGCAATGCGTGGAAGTGCTGGTGCACTTGTGCGCTGAGTCAGGAGGAGCAGCGCTAGAGAAGAAGACGCGCTGGAGGGAGGAAGATGGTTGTACGTTGGAAGTGATGCAGCCATAGCTGCCCAGCGAGTTAGCATGCATTAGTAGTAGAGGGTTAGTATGTAGCTACGAGTAGTATCCAGAGTAGATCCTCATGAGTATTGAAGAGTGTGTATGCATCATAGGAGGAAGGGATTGAGGCTGAGAG